ATGTTAGATGAATCAACAGAAGTGCTGAGATGAAGCTTTACACCCAGAAACACTAACGTAACGGCGTTTGCAACAGCCACCTTGATTTTTTAAACAGTTCACTTGCCTTTGGAGTCAAGTTTAGTGTTTAGCACTTAACCTTCAGAACACCCTTCAGCGCAGTTAGATTACGAGTACAGTGTAATGAACTATGTATCCTAGAAATAATCTCATGGCAGCTGCTGTCGAGGAGCTGTGTACCGCACGAACCTTTTCAGGTAAGAATTGAATACTGTGTTATTCAGTCAGGGAGGGGACGTATATATGATACTTGATGAGATCGACTTGAGTGGTATGTTGTGACGACTTACTGAATGTCCAGTGTATGTGATTACAGTGAGTCTCTTCATATGGACTGGCGGTCAGGATTTGGTCGAGATATGAATGAGAGAGATCCAGTCCACTCAAGATATCATGATTGGGTCGTTCGAATATCTGCATGGAATCGCGCAGACCACAGGGCATATGAAGAAAATCAGGGAAAACCGAAAGGCCCAATGGCTATTGTATTTGAAAAATTTTCAGGGTAAACTAGGATCTGATCAATAGCAGTTGTCTGATCAAACTACTGAATACGGATGTGCCTTTCAAAGAAGCAGCCAGAGTGTGAACTTGTGGAACTGTGTAGTGACTTGAGACTGTTTAGGTGTTGAACCTTTGGCAATCATCCTATAGACTCAACTACATGCCATTGTTTCTGGGTAAAACAAGTTGCCGTGTAACTCGATGAAATAATGGGCGTCTGATCACCCCAACTCAAGTATGTGTTTAAGCTTAGCCTTTCTCAGATCAGAACCCTCACGGTCTAGCGAATTCACGAGGACCGATCGCCGTGATGTGATTGGATTTGGAAGTATCTTGAAAATTTCCGATGATGTAGGCCCAAGGACCGAAGTGTCGTGGTTGGAATGCACTGAGCTGAGAGATAGCTTCTGTGTGATAATACCAGAGACGGAGAGTTGTGCATTGAAGCTTTGGTGGTTGACGGCATAGACATTCGCGAATTGTACGGAGTATATTAACGCAAGATCTTATACCAGCAACTTCTTTATTGTTTCTCGTGTACCAAAGGCAAAGCAAAAGACCACTATTGATTGTCCAAACTACGAGATATATTTCTGAACCGAATCGCGGACTGAAGTCGAAGCTAAGCTGTCTAGTTATCGTGCGTGAAAGTGACACGACGGAGTACCAAATGGCGGGACGCTTGACCGGAAGCCTTCAGCTGAACAAGTCGACTAAAACCCTAAGGGTCTGCATCCAATGTTCACTGATGATTCCTAAGGTCCCGATGTAATCCTTCTCTTAGACATAATCTATTCCTATGGTCAATAATTTTGGGGAATTATTTACCGCCACAATGCCAACCAGCGTATGCATACTAGCATCCACCATAATCTGATAATTCTGTAAAAGATCCACGTGAATAATGCAATCAGTCACATAGAATACGATTGAAACTCAGAGGAAAGAATGGAGAAGTTCAGTATTGAGGCGGCGGAATCTTCTTTCATTTATTGTGAAGGACAAACAGTCGGTGACACCATCCTCCGCTGCTGACAGGGTCAAGTTAGCTTTTTCAGGAGGTAGTTCGCCATAGACGTTAGCTGTCACCACGTGCCGGCCTAAACGTTTCTTATCTGGTTTATGTCAGAGGTACAAGGATGAGTGAACTTCCGATCATCAGCACCATAATGTCTACGGTACTAGCAGAAAGTGGCGAGGATCCGCTTCGAAGGCGACGCGCATCATAATGGAACACTTTTCTAGATGTATCTCTTCCCTAACACTAAGCGACTCCTTGTAAAGCTTAATTTCCACAGCCACCACGTTGATATCCCATTGGTTGGAGCAGGTTTTGTAATGGTCAGAACCAGTTGACAGTCCAGCCAACTGCATGGTCTGGTAGCCCCTAAAGCTCTGTCGGCTGCCTTTATAATTCTATTTAAGGTGAAATGTGAAAAAGTGATAGGATTTCCGGAATCGTTTAAAGCAGTCTTCACAGCTGTTTAAGAAAGGCACTGTCAATTGACTACTAGCTGTTCCACCTAGTGTAGCATATGGACAGGCCAACATTCACTAAAGTGAAAACACAGAAAGAGTCCTTGCACCTTTTTGGGTCCATAGGTGTAATTCTGTTAATTATGACTCTCTTCAGACGACTGCACGGTTTCGGGGAGTGATACCAAGGACATCGAAAGCTTCCTCAATTATGTTTTCAGGAAAATCATATTAATTAGTTGGACTTAGTTTCTTCCGGGTGAATAAACCTAGGGACGAACTGTTAGCCAGGAACAAAAAGGCCGGTTTTCCTAGGCATGTCGGTGCCTTTAGTTGTGAATCTAAACGCTTCAAAATGATTTTTGTCACGGGTGGTCAATTCAAAGCACAAATACTCATTTCCAGTCTACAGTTCCCTTAGTTTGCCTATTCCGAAATTGGGCTGCTGAACCTCCTACAACAACAGCCGACTGTAAAGCTAAAGAACATGGTTTCATAAAACCAGCTACTGGTTAACCTTCAGTTTGATACCAGTTCAGTCCAATCTGGACGGCGGGATGTTCTTAGAACAATGCATTTCATCAGACTTCTCAAACCGCTTCATCAGCCTGTTGCCAAAAAATCCATGGTTCTATATCGACCGCCTATTATTCCAGTTAATCACGCGATACCAAAAGAAGCCCGAAACCACTCATCTGTTGTTCTTCTGGCATTGTGGTGCTTTGCAGTTTGTCACACCTTGTCCAAGTGTTGCCAAGTGTTTAATACATTCGGTCAAAAGAACGGATTTTGGCAGCCGTACACGTGTCATCCACATTCGCCATCCTCGAGAGGCTGGAGCAGACACCGTTTCCAATCAATAGGTAAATCTCTCATTCGGTAGCTGCTCCTTATTTCCAGCAACCTGTTCGCCAAAAAATTATCAGCGTCTGGGTGAAAAACCACTCAGTACAGCTACAGATTGACACAGCATCCGATATCACCATTATACTCAAAAAACTCGGTTTAGAGATCGGACGACTACCTATTCAGAAGACATTATAGACTGATGACAGCGCATATGGTGGGTGGTTATCACTAAGATGGAAGTTCTATCTCACAATTTCTCTCCATAGCACCACTATGAATGTAGCTTGCTACCTCACTGATGTCACTATAAGTCTTCTGGCTCTTGATTAGTTCGACAGTCTTGGGTTATCAGACTAACTTATAAAATTCATTCGTAACCAAATCCAAAACTCGTATACGGTTTCTGATATCAGTCAACGTTCCCGAAATGTCTTTAAGCCCGGTTTCGATTGTGCCACAGCTTCTCACTCACTGATGGAGGGGGAAGTCACGGGGTGTACAAATTATTTTGATACAAAAACTATTGGAGCTGAGTTGTTAGAACCCCCAAAATGCGTAGGGACACTTGTATTATTCGGAGACTACGGAGCAAAACAAAGTAAATGGACAGAAAGATTGGCCAATGATAGACGTAGTAATATCATGTATGATGTCAAAGTAAGACACAAGAACCAACTGAGACGGCAAATGCCTCTCGACAAAAAGATAACAACCAGAGGTTTCGCAGGAGGTATAATACTGAATACATTTGGGATACAATGCAGAAAGCCATGTTGCCTACTGACAACAATGAACCGCTCTGTCAAATCCGGTCAGCCAGACACAAGAAACAAACTGTGTGGTCCCAGGTAGATTCAAAGTAAAAATTCTTTTCTAATGGGGAAGATGACATGTGGATCGACAGCTTGTCTAGAAAATAATATGTATATACTTAAATTTGTCTCTCTGTGTAAACATACTTCTCCGACCCACCTCGTGTTCTCGACCAAGTAGTGGGCTAGGAAATTAAGTAGCCCTTGTCTAATGTTGGTGGCCAACAAGCGATACTCGTGATGACCGTGTCTGCTACTGGCTCTTGCGTCTCTAGCAATTCAACCAAACGTTGCGAAATTTGAAGCCGTCAATTCTAACTTCCACGAATTCTTGGCTTTTAATGTCGTCGCCAGCCGATTTCGTTGGCGACTGTTTGTGCTCACACACCGAATCTGACGCCCCCCCATTAGCCAGTGGTATGATTTACGCAAAAAACACAAAGTAGGTCTCCTTCCTAGCTCATTTCTGACCTCCACCCTTAACCCCCATCATCCGATTGACAAATGACTTTCAGAAATACTACAGTCTATAGGGAGACAAATATCTCCACATACTTCAGATGTACAATTTACATTCAATAGTGCTGCTAGAAGCTAAAATTCATTCTTGGGCTATTTATTGGATTCCATCCTAAAGGCTAAAGGGTCATCATGCTAAACAACGTATAACCTAAAGGCCCGGAGGTTCATCTATTCCCGTACTGTTAAGCATTTTGGAAAAGAAACAAACCACACATTTGTTCAGTAAATACACCCTAGTTTTCAATAGAATCGTCTAACTGGAGAGATATTAGTCAGTTAGTGATGAATAAATAAATCAGTTAGAAATGTATTAACTTCATTCTCAGGAATATATATATATATATATATATATATATATATATATATATTATTTTTTCTAAATATATATACAAATATACAATACAAAAGTTTATAACAATTCTTAACATGATGATGTATGTGGTATACACAACAGTCAGAACAGGAGAGAGAGAGAGAGGGATAGAATGAAAGCGAATGAACGCTGGCAAGTGAAAACACAAAAGACAAAATTATATTATAAAACTAAAGAAAACAATTGAACTTTGAACAATAATAATAATAACAAACTATATTATCATCATCATCATCATCATCATCAGAGAAACAAGAAAAAAAACAACTTATTTTCATCTAAATAATCTCAGGAAAGAAAGAAAACATAACGAAAACAAAACCAAAACAAACAAAATGTCGTGTGTCGTCTGTCTGTGTGTGTGTGTGTTTACATATTATGGTGTGAAGAGAAGAAGAAGAAATTTAGTCATTTTCAATTAATTCTAAGTCAAGATCAATGAAAGAAGATGAAATCTGTTTACTACTGTTATCATTATTATTATCATTTCCACTAATATTATTATTATTATTATTATTGTCATTATTATTATTACTATTATTTGATTCATTAATTGGGAAATCAGAAAAAATACGTTGTCTATTGGGCATCTGAGGTGAAAGAATAGTCTCAATATCATCAGATTCTCCCCCATCTGAGAAGTTTGAACCATCAATCGGTGAAGGCGTGAAAAGGATAACTTGTCGACCAGTAACATCATCTTCATCATGATGTCGATTGTGTACAGGAATTCCTGTTGATAGTAGTTGTTGTTGTGGTGGTGGTGGTGAAGGTGGACAAATCGGTGTAAATGTTATATCATGAATTGATGGAGGAGAGGTCAATGAGATTTCAGGATGATGCCAATTGACCTCGGATACATGATTACTACCACAAATACCACCTTCATCAATCATAGTTTCAGGTGTTTCATGTTCTTTTTCATCTTCAATCATTTCAGAAAGTTTACCCAACTCACTACATGTGTAACGATGAGCATGTTGATGTTGGTGATGATGATGATTATGAGGGAAGCTGTCGTCAAAGAATACACCGGATGAATATTCGCATTCTTGTCCATAATTAACAATATTACACGGCTGAAAGTATACAAACAAAAAAAGGTACAACATTAAGTGAATTATGATTATTATTAAAATAAAAGATAATTCTCAAAAGGTTAGAGACGAAATAAATAACATAGAAGCACCATGACATATCTGGAAAACAGCAGCTTATTATCTAGAGCACAGCATGGCTTCCGAAGGAACCTCTCATGCCTGTCAAATCTCCTCACTGCAAGAGAAAGCTAGGTCAATTCAAGGGACAACAGAAGACCCATTGACGTTGTCTTCATAGACTTCAGCAAAGCCTTTGATTAAGTACCTCAAAAAAGACTACTCATAAAGTTGGAAAATCTTAGTATCAAAGGAAGATCACTGAAATGGCTCAGTGAATTCCTCATAGATAGGAGGCAGAGGGTTAGGATCAACTCGAAACTCTCCTCTTGGACAGCAGTACGTAGCGGAGTGCCACAAGGCACGGTACTCTAACCTCTCCTATTTATTTTGTATATCAATGAGTTATCTCTGTTCATCGACTCCCCTATGGTCCTATATGCAGATGACTTAAAAATTTGGAGAGAGCTGAAGGGCAACAGTGACACGTTCACGTTGCAAGAGGACCTCAACAAATTGTCAGAGCGGTCCATAGAATGGATGCTCCCGATAAATGCGGCAAAATGTGCAACCATGCGCATTGGACAAGCAAGCACAAGGTCCTACGAACTAGAAGGAATAACACTTCCATCAGTTCAGACTCACTTGAACTTAGGTGTCATAGTTAGCCACGACTTAAAAACTACAGCACACTGTCGCGCGGTGGCTGCATGTAGTTTCAGGTCCCTATGGGCAATTCGGAGAGCTTTCACTAGAATCACCAGAGATATGTTCACCTCCTTATATACATCTCTGGTGAGGTCAAGACTGGAAAACTGAATCCAGGCCGCCAGTCCTTGTCCAAAAGGGGACTCACACATTCTAGAGAGGGCTCAAAGGAAGGCAACATGTATGGTTCTCGGCATGATTAACTTATCATACGAGGAAAGACTAGGAAGTTTAAATCTCTTCCCCCTATCATACCGTAGGCAGAGAGGAGATTTAATCACAATGCTTAAAATTTTAAATAATGACTATGGACCTAACCTATTCTCTCTTTTCCTTCCTACCAGGTCGGACATAGCAGGAGAGTTCAAAAGCCAAGAATAAAACATATTGCCGTTGAGTACTGGTTCTCACACCGAGTCATAAACTCTTGGAACCGACTCCAGAAGAAGTGGTGTCTGCAACCTCAATTGATTCGTTCAAGAAGGGTTCGGACAACCACAGAAATCTACTAGAAAAGGATTAACATAGACTCCAAGCCTTCTATACTCAACCAATAAATCTGAATCTAAATATGGAAGTAAAATTCCAAACAAATCAATAACAAATAATAATTGATTTCAAGATTCATCATTGAAACTGACTTCAGTTAGAGAACCACTGAAAACTAGCAGGGATTACTGAGTAGCCGTTTTGTCTCTGCTTGGGACTCCTCAGAAGCACATACCTACTACTACTACTACCCTATCACAAGGGATCGAAGGCAGGACTTTCAGGTTACCAGATGAGATCATTGACCATTCACAATCTCTTGGATGAAATCCCATTGGCACTATCCATTAGTCCTAACATCTGCCTATACGCGATAAATAGCACAAAAACCGACAGTCAGCGTCATCAGAGAGTGTACTTGTCTTGCCTAGTACTCCTTGCTGGTTCTCAATAGTTCTGTAACTGAAGTCAGCTTTAGTGATCAGTCTTTAAATCAACCAAATCCTTGCAAAATAAACATTTGAAAAACCACCTAACGTAATTAGAAGCACTAGGCGTAGTAAACACGTGTTGCGTGTTCTTAGATTTCTTTTGAAGACGTACATGGCGAAGGATGGTGGTAATTGATTATTCCAACATATCATACTGGTACTGTGGCATGTGCTACTGACAAGTCATATCAGTAGTATGTAAAAAGACGTTTATAGTCAATCAATTTCAAATAGTGGAGAGATAGACGTGACGTCAGAGAGAGAGAGAGAGAGCAAATGAACCAGTGTTACAGCGAAACATAGCAGACGTGAAAAGAAGACAAAGAGACATAATACGAAGGTTAGAAGTAGTCCACCACTGAAAATTCGTGCGAATAACGATTTTCATTTAAACTGTACATAATTTCTCTACATAGAGACATCAAATTACAAATAAACATTCCTTTACCAAGTCTCTTGCAGTCTACTGTTACCCTACTACTCATTTAAGTAGGCATTACTACTATTAGACTAAAAGCTTTAAAAAGTGTGTGATAAACTTAGCAATAAAAACTTACATTACACTTGATCGTATCTTCATGTGATCCAATATGACATGGATTGATTAACTCCATAGGACAATAATCATGCATCGTTTCTGTATTATTATTATTGTTACTATTACTATCATTATAATCAACATTTATAGGAGGCATTGTATTCGAATGTGTACAACGTTTAATTAACGTTGAAGTATTCTGTTCATCATCTGCATTACCATCACCATGACCATCAGTGTTATTGATGAAATCAGCTTCAATAAGTGTTGGATCATCTTGATGAACACATGTTTCAGGCATACATAAATGTCTCGATGAATATGAAGAAGATGTAGACGAGTAGATTGATGTCGTTGGATAGTGTTCCGAAAAAGAAAATAGTGAATGTTGTAATTCATGACAAGAACAACAAACTGTTGTAGATAGTCTACAATTACTACTAGGATGATTATTGTTGTCATTTAGTGTTGTATTCAACAGTGCTGAAGATATATTACGTAAGTGATCATCATTATTATTGTTGTGCACTTGATCTGTACTTCTCTTCCAATAGTAACATCCACATGGGAATATATCATCGTGGATTTGTTCTTTGTCTTCTTCATGTGAATTATTATAATTATTATTATCATGTAATTCATCAAAGCATTCAGTACATTCACCGCTTGGTCCACGTCTACGTTTCAATCCGGTTGTTGTCATGGCACTGGAAGGCGTTGACTGGTTGGTGTTGTTATTGTTATTACCATTATTACTACTGATATTATTATTATTAGTAGTATTTGCAGTAGTCGGAGTTAGACTTGTACAAGCTAAAGGTGTACATAGTGATCGATAATTATTCTGTTTACTAACATGACCGTCATTATTATTACTATTATTGGAACAGTGAATTAAATGTTTACAATTCATATTATCATAGATTGTATTATCATTTGGTTGAGAACAACATCGTAGGGTACATTTCATTGATTGCAAAGAACAACTACTACTATTACTATCATTACTACTGTGACTACTATTACTTCCACTACTACTGATATTTCTCATTGTCTGATGTAATTCTTCATGATTATTTTTATTATTATCATTATTCATATTGAATTCATTCTCTTCTAATTTGAAACATGGTTCTAAATCAGTTAATTGATTTGATGAATGAGTATAAAGATTTGATGAGAATTTCTTATCATCATCAATTGACATTTTCCCGTGATTCTTTCTACCACTATGATGATGATGATGGTGGTGGTGATGGTGACGATGATGATGGTCATGATGCGCATGATGATGAGGGTGATGATGAAGATGGAGATGGGGTCGTTGATGTTGATGACATTGGCAATGACAATAACTTGTATGTGGCATAGAATCTGATGGTACACCAAACTATATTAAGAGATAAATGGAAACAAATTATTTAAGGCAAATCATAATCAATTTTGTGTATCCAATACGGATAATAATAAAAAATCTAAAAGAAAAACTATCTAAGTTTATGTGATAAAATTTAAACAAGTGATTATGATTACTGTCAGGACAGACAAACTTCTTCTTATTATTATTGTTCCCTTAGGTTCCTAGTGGAACATAGGACTTCAACTGCACGTCTCCACTTGCCACTTCTGTCTTCCTCCTGCTGTACTTTTCACCTGCATCCATCTTAGTCCATACTGTTTCAACTCCTCTTCACACGATCTCCTCCATGTCACCCTTGCACCGACGACCCAGTCGCCGCTTCCCTTTCGGCCTAGTTCCACTCGAGCAATGGCCTGACGGGCGCGCACGATGTCACCCAGCGGCCTCCTCAGCTAGTGTCCATACCCACCCATCTCCACTTCCTCCTGCATATTTCTTGGGCGATTGCTTCTTGTTTTGTTTGTTCCCATAGCCTCCAATAGTTGGTGATTCTTTCCGGCCCCGCCATCTGATTGATCTTCAGTATAGAGCGAAGACAGCTAGTTGTTGATAAAGGTCTGCAACAGGATGTTGGAAATATTCATTGTGACCTGCCCGCCAAGTTTCTGACCCGTACAGAAGAGCTGACTGAATTGACGCTGTTTGTATTGAAAACCCGATCGAATTTTGTTGTTGATGCTGGCTGAGTGACGGAGATTTACAGAATGGTTTCAGGTTGATGAATGTGTTTCTCACTCGCCTTCCCGATTCTCGCTCGATTTGATATCCTCGTCCATTCCGACTTCCTGTAGTTGAGACAATGCTCCCTAGCTGGATAGGTGAATGAAGTAACCTCTTTCAAATCCCTCCCGTTGATGGTGATTGACGTTGGATGTTGTTGCTGTTGTTGTTAGTTGGTTATTTTCATCACCTCCGTCTTGTCTATGTTCACCTGGAGTCCTGTCTTCTCTGGCTGCTTCTTCTCCCAGTTTGTCGGTTTTCGCTTGCAAGTCTTCTATTTTGTATGACATCAAACATAAATCATCCACGGGCGGAATCCAGATCTTCTAGGTTCTTCACGTTGGTCCAGGATATCCCTGTCTTCTCGTTTCCCACTGTCTGACGCATAGTGGGAAACGAGCAGACAAACTCCTTAGTCAGCTATAAAGTCATGATTTATCCATGCGCTGATGTCATGGCCTGATTAGGCAGTTTCTGATTCGTCTGTTTATGGCTTAATTTCTAAGGGATTAAGATGTCACACAATCAATCCGATTTATTTATTTATTCATTTATTTACGGGTTAAATTCTTGAGGTTTTTTAAACACGACATAGTAGGCACTTAGTTGAATAAACTTTGTCATGGTTGACTGACTTTTGTGTCTACCTCAGTGTAAGCAATAATTGATTCCAAGTGATCAGTTGGGGGAAGCATCGTGTTGTGGAGACGCATTCTAGTCAAGTTATAACGACAGAAGACAAGGGTCAGACAACAGATTGTCTATTGAGAAAATCAACAGATATTTATAGATTTTTATATACATTATTATTAGTGTTACTGTTAGCAGAGAAGCAACGTCTTCTGATTGGTTTTTTTTTCTTGCTGAAGGTTATTCTGTACTGCTTGTGACCGTTTCTTAGACAGTCAAACCGTATATCTGCGAATCGTATTTGTACACGTTAAGTCTTCTGAGATTGGTTGGTGACTCTCTCAATGTTAAGCTTTGTTATTGTTCCTTCTCATGACACCGATTCGGGACATAAATACTGACGTATATTGTTGTCTACAATTTTCGCTAGCAGACAGCTCTCACCGGATAATTTACCAAACTCACAACTTAGTGATCACTCCTTCATAACAATTACCTAACTGCTTAACACACAAGAAACAACTACCACTGTTCATTAGATCTTAGTTTCTCATACAATCGATTCTCTTGATTAGAAAACTAATAGATTTGCAGGATAAAAAGAGAGCTCATTTTGTTTAATTCAAAACTTTTCAGCAGCTGCTAACACATACTTTGGAATTATTCTAACTCAAAGGGCATAACTGTACAACAAGAGATATGATTTAATAAACAAATTCGATTGGTTGTTTGACTTCAAAAAATTAAGTTATAAACAAACAAATCAGAAAATGTCCAATCAACTTATCAAGGGTATGCATTCATGAATCACGACTTCATGGTTAACATAAAAGTTTGTCCATCTTAACGCCCCCCCCCCCCATTTTTATGTAATTGTGTTCTTTGGGCTGGATGGTTTATTTGCGAATCTTTTATTGCCCTACTAGTCAACATCTTCAGCGCATACTGTAATTTGAATTGAGAACGTGAGCTGCAACTCACAACTACTTCTATATTAGTTTGTTTATTAGATGCATCACACAGTGAAACAGCATTATTTGCTGGATGACGTTTCGAACCAAATTTATTGTTCATAATCATATCAATTGTAATCACACGACTTTGAAACTTGAGTTTTATAGTTTTCTTTCTTCTCTCCTATTTGTCGTATGGGCAGTAGAATTTTCCATATATCTGGGACAGGTGTTGAATCGTTTCTCTTACATGTATTTGCCGTTGATTCGATAAACAAAGCTTCTGTTATCAATCTCTCCCAATACTCTGTAACAGATTTTAAAACTGTCATCCTATCCCATCCTATTGTATGGTTGTGTGTAACTGCATGTAGTGCTATAGCTGAACTATTTTCTAGACTTCTTATCTTATTTGGGTCCTCTATCCAATATCCTCTATTTTTAAATAAGTCTCCGAATGGGGGACTTTTGGAAGATACTTTGAAGGCATGTGTACTCTCTGTCTATGATACCATGTGTTTTCGCTCTGGTTAATAGAATACTAACAAGATGGATAGTTCGTGGATGGAATCATTGTGGCGTATAGTAAGTATTCCAGATTCATGGTCATTGAAGCATGTATACCATTCTTACTAACAGGTAATATACGCCACTACATCCACTACACTTGCGTTTATTTTAATACATCAAATAAAAATTAGACATAGTACATAATACACCTAGTAAAAGTTTTCCCGTACAAACTATCGACTGATTCAACTTCTTGAAAAAACTGGTCTTAGTTAAAAGTTGAATTGAATATTATAAAAAATACTACTTAAATACCTTTCAGTAGTTCAAAAACTAACGTAAATAAATTTCATCCTGAATAGAGCAAAAAGAATATATTGAGAGGGATAAAACGATGTCGTTATATTTCGTTGGCTCTTGTCAGCTGCATACAACCATGAATAATTTAATATCAATATAAAAAGTATTCCGATACTGTAGTTATTGATCACAAAGATGGTGGATATCATTGTCACGTGATTAAGAATCATAATGGAAAAGAATAAAAGTCGTTGTTAAGCTTGTTAGTATGTATAGAAATAATTTGCAAATATTATAGAATAAAGAAAGAATGTTAGGAATTGAACAGAGGCATAAAATCAATGCACTTAGGTAATGGTCAAATAATTTACTTCAGCAGAAGTCAAAAAAGAGTTTCGTAAGTAATATAGATAGAGGCAAAATTAGATTAGAAAATCACACTGTCAAAACAAAATATGATTAAAATAGAGAAGTTAACAAAACAATAAGATTGAGTAATGTATAATTAATAATGTAAGGCAAGACTGTCAACAGTCTCCTTCTGGATGCATAAATTTGGTTGCAATAATCGTTTAATGGTAACCGCCTAGACAATGCGTAACAGTAATCTGGAGCTGTCTCGAAGTTTAATTACCCTTAAAGGATTTTGATGTATTGATTTCATGACCACTGTATAACAGATGGTGAGCAGTGGTACTACTGAAGACTTTTACACCTCTCATATGTTATTTCCTTGAAATATTCTAAGATATGCGGTCCGATGTATATGCTTAACACGTACATGCTAATTGGTATATGCAGTTGTATGCAAACAAAGTGACGATTCAAATAATACATTCTTGTTCTGTGTTCTATTGTATCTTCTCGTAAATTCATGCTCTTGTTCCTCCTTATACTTTTACAAGATATCATGTCTCCCTTTCTCCTTCAGAATTTTAACTAATCGATTGGGAGTCAGCGATTGACAAAAGATAGTATTCATCGGCCTTTCACAGTGATACCTCCCCTCCTTTTTCATAGCTGAATGGTCAACTAGTACACCTCGTAAACCCTGAGGTCTTGGGTTCAATTCTCGGTGGAATCATTGGTGAGGACTTTTGAAGAGTCCTGAAATGGTACCAAACGGCTGTTCAATGCTCCCTGAGTTCCAGCATTTTCCCAACTGATGATGTTAATCCATGATTGGATTTGAAATTCTTATTTTACTTTTCGATTTGGCGCGATATGTACTACTGATATGTGTATGCCTGGTCAAACACACACATGTTCGACTACGAGACAATAAACTTTTTATATTGGTACGTGGTAATGAGAAATCTTTAAGAAGAGGAATTAAGCATACTAAGAATCACATACAGTATTGTAATTAAAATAACAAAGAAACAAAACAAATCCTTACTTACCCTTGAACAATCTGGTAAACTAGACGCTTCAGATAATCCCGAAAATGATGCTTCATGAAATCCAGATGAAGGAGTCCGAGCAGTCATTTGTACTGATGAGGAGATAGATCCACCAGTAGCAGGGGATAACGAAAAACTCGATGAATTGACATCGATTGGAAAACTACCAAATGATGCACGAGTTGGAGTGAATGCTGATGACGGACTATAAAGTTTTTTTAAAGAAATATTGTGAAAGGTTTCGTCAGTTACTTCAAATACAATTAATTTACGAAGAAAATTTATTCATAAAAGTTTGTCTGGGTGTGATACTCAAGCATACATCAAGAACAGCTCGGTTTGTTATCTTTCATGATTGTGAAATATAGCTATTGAAGGCAGAAGACATGAAGACTAGCTGTCTTTAACCAAAGATGTTTGAGTTCCATCTGTTACGTTAAGTGGCATAATATAATGAGGAATATTGAGTTTAGGCGTAGTGTTAGGTAAGGAGGGTAAGTGAATCGATGAGAGTGTGAAGCTATATCGATTGAGATGGCTACGACACGTGTCGGGCGTGATAAGCCACGGGCTTCCTCGTAGAGCAATGTTGGCTGATATAGTATAAGTTTGGAAAAGACTAGGAAGTGGTTAAATGAAAAAGGTGGAATCAATCCATGAAGTCTTCGAGTGTCAGTTTGAGGTGTGTAGTTCACTGACTGGTTGAGGACTTCAAGGTGAAAAGAAACAGTGGCTGGAAATTACATGTGATATGGCTCAAAATCGTTCTCAGTGATGGCGCAGATGCATTCACACTTCGTAGTCTATCAGATCCATAAAGTCTTCAACGAAAAAAACAACTGAAAGACGATCATACTGCCCAATATTGATAGGTATTATTGTTCACAATAGAAAATGCAAATCCCCTAGGAGTTCATGTCAATGCATCACATGATGCTGATCGGTATCATTTCATAACCAGGTTCAAAAAACAGATTGGCAAAGCAGTTTTCAGACATGAAAACCACCTGATCTGGTGGTACACAGAAACTAAAAGCTATCATTTAGTGCAACATCCTTACAATAAGAGTTGTTAAGAGAAAAGAGTTGCAAAGTGTGATGTAACAGTTGTCCATTCAGTGACTTCCTTTAGCTGATGAAGGTTTTTCTCTAACGCAAACTACCTTAATGAAATTAGAGCATACCATACACACACACACACGTAGACATACTTTATATTCTGTATCAATCACAGATAAAGAAAGGCATAATTCAACCATATTGAATTCTCAAGTGTCACTTGGTAGAATGTCACTGTTGAATTTCATCAGGTCGGGCATGTGGAAAAATGCTTTCAGATAACATCAGCTGGCAGTAAGCTTCATGCTTCGAGAATTGGAAGGGGTTACAGAATTCAAGGGTCATTAAATCCCAACCCAAGTGGTTGATTGGATGGTCAACGAATTTGTCTCCGAGCTTGGAAATCCCGAGTTCTATCTATCCTTAGTGGTGGAGCTATATATGCATAACTGCTACTCTAAAGAATTCCAGACGAGGGCGAAACAACTCTCAATTACTCTCATCTGGTTTTCAGTGGATAATCTCCAATTGTGTTATCAAATCACGATCAGTAATGCTTTGAGTTCTCGTCTTTTCCATAAACTACGAGTGGCTTAACAACAGATTCAGTTCAGTAGATTATTCAGGTGTAGAGATTTGATTGGTCACAGGATTTCATCATGGGCTGACATTGGTTAGAGAACCATTGAAAAATCAACAGGGAATTTTGGACACCTGTTTCGTCCTAGTTTAGAACTCTTCATTGTACACACCCACCGCCAGCGTTCGAACCGAGGGCCTTCCGGTTACCAGGCGAGCTCACAAGATATTAAGCCATCGGGATTTGATCCAGAGGCCCATGAAGCTTAACACTTGAATATCAATATGATGCTCACTAGTGACCGGCTCTATTCGGGCAGGGTAGGTGACCTGGGTTCTGGTGATAAGTCGTGACCAGTAGGATAAAGCAGGTCAGGCGTGAGGACTAGTCACTCGCTGCGTATGACACTGTCTAGTGGCCATGTCATCTTGAGAATTCACACAAGTTAGAATTCATGGGCTGGTCACTGTATCGAGCCCCAGTGGCCTTACGTTCTACGATCTCACTCACCTAGTAACCAGAAGGTCCTGGGTTCGAACCTTGGCGGTGGGTACGTGCTGATGAAGAATGCCAAACCAAGCTGTCCAGTACTCCCAGGTTTTCTAATGATTCTCTAACCAATGTCAGCTCATGATGAAATCCTGTAATCAGTAGTTTATTACAGTTGTTTTTTGTACATAAGATGAGGTAGTTACTCTGAAGAACAACAATACAGATGATGACGCTAGGCTGACACACACATGAAGAAATTTCACACTTTCACATTACATAAACGTAAAAAGAGGAGGATTGACTTCGACAAAAAACAGCATGCCATTTTTTATGCCACCAGCATTCCATAGTGGTATCCAATAATCCAAATATTCAACCAATCAATAACAAAATAAACACAACACAGATAATTCCCTTCAAAACTATGCCCGTGCGCGCGTGCCAATTCCCTCAGACACGCACACACACATATACATAGGCGAAGAAATACAGACACATGCATTCCTCTTCGTCAAAATGAACGAATTTAAAAGCTTCATCCTTATAATATTTTTAATTTTTGATTGATATTAAGCCATTCCCCATTATATTTGACGAGTGAAGACTGACAGGATTGGGCAAAAATATCCTATAATAGTACTAGTGGTACTTTTAAAAGTTATAACATGCTCTCACATCTTCCCAAACAAAAAATTACTACTAAAGACGACTAAACAAAACACAACTTTGGCAAAGAGAACAAGACAAAAAAAAGGAAATACCAAACACTGTTGCATACATAAACATACGTACAGACACACAGATGCATACATACACTCAAGTGTATGAATATCTCCCACCTCTCCCCACCCCCACAAAACTGTATGTTTGTACTTCAATTCATAGAATTTTTGGCCTATAATATTATATATTATATTGATAACACATGTAGGCATATATATCATCATTATCTATGATCATTAGCCTTTGGTAACTATGCTAAATGAAACAAAAAACTTAAATAATATTCATCACCATAGGAGGTTATAGCAAATAATGATAATTGAATACTCTAACACTATGTATGCGCAGTATGCACAACTAACTAGTCATAGGACACACACATGGATATTGGCTACTATTAGCGTTATGTTAATTTATCATGACGCGCATTTCATCAATGCACATAATAGAACAAACACCCAACGCGTGCATACATCATTCATTCATTCAAATTCATTACACAGAAATACCTTTCATCACACAACTCTCAACTATGCAATAATGACGACAATAATAACTATAAATAACAGTAATCATGATAGTAAAATTTCTGTATGAGTTTTTTCCATCTTGTATTTTCTCTTCGCCTTTTTTTCCTACTTATTTTGCTTCATTCTTTACTATTTTCTTTAAACCAAAACACAAACATACACGCGTTTACATACAGGCAGACATATGTGCCTACCTACCTACCTACGCACCCCCTACTGCACACGTTTGGCAGTCAGCCAACTTTATTTGTTTTTTGTTATACTTTTTTTGTTTAGTAATAACAGTTCTAAGCCAAAGCTTATCATTATTACTACTATTACTATTATTATTATTAATCTATTTGCATGTCTGATAGCCAGGTCAAAACTAGTCGGGAAAATTTAGCCAATCGCGAGGGGATTAGGCATAAAAATCAATATATTACGCCAATACATTAAATAGGCTGGAAAGTAAAAAAAAGCAAGTTGGATATACTTTTAACCAATCAGAACCAAGTATAAATTATTATTATTATCATTATACTTTTATTATTTCGTTATATATATATATATATTTTCCATTTTTGAATGTTGGCAGAGTATTATTATCAATTGCGTTGTAAGAAAGATTGATTGGTGAATATGTGTGTGTGTCTGCGTGGATGATTTAATTTCCGACAGACAAAAGAAATTTAATTGTAAAACGAACAACGTTGCAATCAGTAGGGTAGTTTTTTTATATTTAAGACAAAAACTAAGGGATCTTGGAAAGTTGTAATAAAGTTACACATCTATATAAAGACTAACTTGGTTGTACTCAGAAGCTAGTTTAGATTTAAGAGTAAGTGATTTTGAGGTGGTTGTGTTCTCTGAGCTGGATAGTTAGTTTGCGAAGCTTCATCGCCCTGCCTACTAGGCGACATTCTTCAATTTGAAGTATGCGCTGAAGATGCCGCCTAGTAGGAAGATGAAAGCTTTGCAAACTAAATATCTAGCTCAGAGAACACAACCACCTCAAAAGTATCCACCTGAGCTACAAATCTTCTCTATCATATCTAGAGTAGATGATTGTTTCAACGAAGAACCGTTATGATAGACACTGATACGACTGATTGGCCTGTAACTAAACACAATTGTTGTCAATCTGATTATCATTCGATGAAGCTAGTGTACATCTTATTACTCGGTGTGTCTCATTTTACACAAGTGATCGCTAATCCATTGAAGGCATCATTATTACCAAGGTCTTAATATTATACTCCTTTCTCTCCTTAATTGACTGAGTTTTTAACACATAGAACTATGCAAAGAAGTGTGGTAATTCAAGTTACTACACTTCATATAGCACATAAAAAAGTAGAGGAAAAAAGAGATTGAAAGAAACTACAATGAGCAGAAATGTTTACAGGAGAAAGATTGGTAACAAGGAGAGAAACATTAGGGGTTTTAACAGACTTTGGAGATTATACATAGGATAGGTAAATCTGCGTTACTAAGATCAATTTTGAGTCATAACACCAACAACGTCTAGAGAACTTCACAGCCAAACAGCCTAAAACTGCTTCCCTACGTATGTAGCTGGCTTATACCAACAGTTTTATATTTCATTGATCGATGCCTTGTTTTGGTCTGACCACCCCTAACTCCCCTCTAACATAATGAATCCCATATCAGCTAACATTATCGCCGAGACAGAGGATGGCTTGGCATGAGTAACACACATATCCTAGTCATATCATTTGGTCAAGAGTATAAAACAAATTAGGTGTGTCAGTGGCACAGCGGTTAGGACTCTCGCCGACCATGCACATGGTCCGAGGTTCGATCCCCGGCCAACGTACT